CCACTATCCCTATATATCCCCGATATAACCCTGATATTTAGACACTAGGTCAGCTGCTGAGGTACCCCAGCCACCGGCGAGCGCAAGGCTCCGATGGTCCTTCAGCGATGCCTGGGACTTGGAGGGTTCCACAGAAATCTGGGGATTTTCTCAAAGTTATGGGTAACCTTCTAAGCGGTTATGGGGATTATATGGGGGTTATAGGGGGATATATAGGGCTCAGGGTTTCCCAAAGGAAAGGTCCGATTTTGGTACCCCCAAGTATTAGGTGCCGTAATATACGAAATAACCAAAAGGTGCCTAGAATTTTGAGAACAACACATACGGGGGTTTCCCAAAATCTGGAAAAAACCTTTGTGGGTGTTCCCATATTGTGGATTATAGTTATTTTGGGTCTATATTGGCTTCCCCCCCACGCAGCTCTTCGGGTGAACATGCATGGTTTGCTTGTGTATTTGTTGGGCATGATGATGCATTTCCCTACTCTTGAACACTTGCACTTTCACGAGAGATTTCACCATGTTTGTTGTGCAGGAGCTATTCCCGACCGCCATGCCGTTCCGGAAGCTATAGCATGAAAGGAGTTCAAACACCAGAAGCACGTATCCCAAAGCTTTCGAGGTCGAGCCCAGGCCTCGAAGACTTTAGTTTACCACCAACCTTCTCTTACCAGTAGTAACAACAATAGAGTGGCAGTCGCTGTTGTACTAGACGTAGTAGCAGCAGCAGGAGGAGTAGTAGTGTTGGCAATTGTGGAGAAGAGGTACTGGAGTGAAAATGCTAGTGGAGTGGAGGTGGCAGTGACAGTGTAGCAGCAGTAGAAGCAGTTGCTGGGTAGAACTAATAGCAGAGCTAGCAGCATGAGGAGAAGGAGTAGCAGTGGTAGTGGCATGAGAATAAGAAGTGCACGGATATGTGTTCTCTCATGGCAGTACTCGAATTGGTGCGCTTCTTGAACTACTCCCTGGTTCTGATTCCAGGGACTGACTCCAAAGAAGCCCATGAGTGGTTCCTCAGCTCAGGCACACATGGCACTGAACCCGCAGGCTGCAAAGTAGGAGCAGCTTGGGGACGGCACCAAGGATGTGAAAGTTTCTAAGGATCTTGATAACGATGCCAATGCTAGATATCCCTCGAAGGGTTACACAGGCCTGAATACTTGCTGATATTTTGTTGACGTCGATTTCAGGTAGTCTGTTCCATTCCTATACATGGAAACTGGGACTTTCGTTTTGGTAATTATTGGGGCTTGTCCCCCCCGATGCCATGCCAGCTCTCAAAAAAGTGTACCGCCCAGCAGATGCTGGCACGACACCAACACCAACACCACAAATTAACAACGTTCTCCATGCTATGACTCGGATATTCAGCCCTAAACCTGCAACCTTAAACCCTAAACCCTAAGTTATTGAGGTTTCTGCTTTCTAGCCTCTTTGTCGTCATCTACCCTAATTCCTGCGTCAATATCATGACTATCATGAGTTGTAGAATCATGGCCGCAAACACAGGGCAGCATCACGAGAACAGTATAGCATCACGACAGTCATTGCCCTCATTTCCTGAACCTGAAGCCCTATAAGCCAAGAGCACAGCCCTCAACCTCAAACCCCCAAAACCCAAACCCTGAAACTTAACCCCTAAGGCTGAGAGCTGCCCCAAGAAGCCTCAACCAAACTCCTTAAAACCGTAGCCCCTTACTAAGCTCTACCGTCTACGGCGCGCAGGTGCTTTCAGCGCCGACGCCATGGCGGGCGGTCTTGGCAAGTGCCCTGTTGCACAAAGTTAGGGCCAAAAAAAAGTAGAGCTTCTATGAGCTTTGAGTGGGTGTAGGTTGACCTTCGTCTCGATGTCTGATAAGGTTTGCCTTGCATGTCTTTTTTGTTGTGGGATTTTGCTTTTGTCCTGAGGTCACGTAAAGGTTTACTGAGTCCTGTGGGGCCTTGTCTTGCTCGTGGGTAAGAATTTGGTCTCAGGGACTCAGCGAAGCTCGCGCGGACCCCACAAAAGGCCAATCTTAGGAGAGCATAGAACGTCTCTGGAGGCCTAAGGCCTTAGGGAGCCCCATGCATGCATTCCCCTCAGATCCTCTTTTGTTGCTGCAGCAGGCAGACAGGCGTTTTCACGCCGGCCATGACTCATCTTTTTGCCGATCTTGCTGCTCGGAGTTTTCTGTTGCAGGCAGTCTCGCAAAAAGTAACGGACATGCTGATCCAACATGTCCTATCAGGTGCTCCGTTAGCAAGCAATCCGCGGTCCGTGTCACCGACGAGGTTGGCGGCCTCCACGCCGGATCCCCAGCAGCAGATCCTTCCGTTTTGAAGCCCGCTCGAACCAAGAACCTCAAGCCCTGAGCTGAAAGCTGACACCCAGCCTACACACACCAGCGTTCTTTGTGCTTAGCAGTGAAGGGGGGAACCCTGATGAGGGCCAGCTGGACGCCGCCCAGCGCTGTGCCATTGCTCCGTTCGCCACGCCGATCGGTGCCGGTGCCCGCGCCGGTGCCAGGGCCAGCGTGGGAGCCCGGTAGCCTTTCAGTATATCAGGTTTTCACAAGAATCTGATGTCCTTGGGCGGGTCGCAAGAATAAGGGTAGTTGTATGATTGCAGTCTTTGGAGTACCTGCCCAAAGGGGCCTCGGGCATGAGTTTGAAGGGAGATGTGTTGGCCGTGTGGGATTGAATCTGCATTCTGCTTTGGAGAGACAGAGTCGCTGGTGAAAATGCAAGAGCCGAGACAAGAAGAGCATAATTTTGGAGTGCTTGCAGATGAAAGCGCCTCAGCGTTTGCATGCTCAAAGGGTTTTGTAGCGTCCTGGCCTCCAGCAGATCTTGCGGCAATGCAACGGTCGCGCCTGTCCTCGCAAAACTCAGCTAGAAAGACGCGCTCCGTGGACCCCTTTGACACCGATGCTCGGTACAGTTGAGCCCGACACGCACGACACAAGATCATGCCCCAGGTTTTTAAAGCCTTCCTCAGGCCAAGAATCTGCATAGAGGCTTGCAGCGAAATTGGCAGCTTTGCATCTCGTAACTCAGCCAACTTGAGCTTCCTTTACCTGCAAACTCCTGCAAACCCCTCAACAAGTGACAGGGTGTTCGGAAAAGGACCTCCAGCTCGGAGCAGAATAAAACATGAGAATCACTCAGCTTGATTAACATATGTGTCAAACTCTTCTAGTCATCATCCTCATGTTCGCCAAGCGTGCTGGAATGGATGATTGGCATAAGTGACAACATGTAAGTAGTATTGGTAGCAACAGAAAACAACGTGCTCCTATTTCTGTTGCTACTAAGGCCGCAGATACCAGTCCTACTGTTGTAGTAGCAGCAAGATTAGCAGTTTCTGGACTCCACGTCGCAATCACCATGGGAGTAGTAAAGCTTTTTTTCCACCCAGAAACCAGGACCTGCCACGTCTGAAGATCGACGCCAGAAGCGGCTGGTTCCCTGTAGAGGTACTCTCAAAGGAGGCAGGGGTTTAGGGTATTGGGGTTAGTTATATTGGAATAATGGAAAAGAAAATGGAAACTATTATAATGGGTTATATAGGGTTTAGGGTTTAAGGGGCATGAGGGGGAGCTTGGAGGAAGTTTGCTGTTTAGTTTACCATATCGTCCTCCTTAAGTAGATAGAATATGGGGTATATGGGGATCTTATTATAGCATACCCAAAGCCATAATCTATCTACTTAAGGGGGCTATAGCTAGCCTGGTCGTTCCGTAGTGCTAGCCTGGTGGTGAAGATGTTGAGTGGATGTCCATCCTCATGTTGAGGGTTCGACAGTCTCTTCATTGCTGCTATAGAACTACCGAAAACGAGCAACAGTAAACCCAAAATCCTAATCTTACCCGGCACAGATTAGGAGCATAATAAAAGGAAGTCAAAGGCGAAGGGTCTCATGGCAGGATGCTTCGGGTTTGGAGCCTAAGACCTAGGACAAGGACGGTGCAAATCGTTTCTCCAAACAGCTTGACCGTACTTGTTCCTGTTCAGTTCCTGCCCCTTGTCTCCTTAAATGTCATTCCACCTTTTGGTGTAGCTTTGCAAGTCCAAACGTTGTTCCGGCAAAGAGGCTGGCAGATTCGTTGCCGGCTGGGGCATGTGGTCGGCATCTTGCCTGGGACTTTCTGTGAAGTGGTAGTTTCCCAAAAATAATGGGATCCCAATATAGACCATAAGATAGGAGTACCCCTAATTCTGGGAAACCCCCAAGTTCAAAATTTAGGCCAGAGTCACACCTTGCCATCTTCTGGCTTTGCCTAGGGGCATGGCTTGTTGAGGATCCCGCACTCTGGAAAGATAGACAGGACTGAAAGGACTGTGCTTGCCAGGGGTTCCGTTCATGATCCAGTTGCCTGGGTTACTGTTAAGGAACTTGAATCAAGTTACCATAATTGGGGTACATACTACAGTAGATAATAGGGTGTCCTTGTTATAGTACCTTACTTCAAGTTCCTTAACAGCAACCCAGTTGCCTGAATTCTCACGGCATCCATTGTGACCGCTTCAAGTCTATAAGTTGTTGGGGGCCCTAGCTGATATGACTTGGAAATTTAATCAACGACTGCACTATACAATCCTCAACAGGGACCGCAATACCCTTATAAAACCTGCCGCCCTGTTTCCTCTTCTTTTCATTCCTGGAATGTTTACTGCTCGCACCAAGGAGCGCTACGAGCGCTGGGTGGCTGTCTTTCAGCTCCCCGGATTGCGCGGAGAGTGTCTGAAATCGCGGCACCATAGATCCCAGCATAGAGCCAGAGAGTGGTCTTCTTTTGATTGTAGTACCTTTTGCGAAAGCACTTGCTAGCTTCCACAATCAACAAACACGTCCCTCAAAAGAAAATTTCCCCAAAGAAGGGATTGCCCTTTACTTCCAGTGGAGGACAGCACCCATGATTTTCCAAAACCATTGCTTTCTATGCGTAGCGGTTGTGGTGGTTGTTGTTGCTGCTGCTAACACGTGCTTGTTCTAGCAGCCATTCGATGCCTTCAGTACCCATGGCTTCCGCAAAAGACAGCCGTGGTCGTCGCAAGCTTGTATCATAGTAGTCCCAGCACTTTCTAGGTGCTTCCAATGCCACCCCCTTAAGTTACAAGCTTACGTGTACTGACTGCCAGGATATGGGGATGTATAGGGTGTACGGCGGTATATAGGTTTATATAGGGTTATATATGGGTCCATCACCCAGGACTGCCATTTTTACTGGAAAATCATGTGAGGGTTGTTCTTACAATCCTCTAAGGAGGGGCGATTGCGAGTAAACCCTAGAAGTCGATCCAAACCAAAAGGGCGCCTACATGCGCTTGGTTTCCCCTGAGCTTCCCATGTGTTGAGATCTTACCACTTGGGGGCATGTAGAGGAGCAATGTGTTGGACATGCATGAAAGATATGGATATTATGGCCATACCCCGCAAAATTGTAGTGTTATCTTCGTATGTGGGAGCCGGAAGCCGGAGAAAAACGAGGTACTACTCCTTGGGAATCCACGATGTGTCTCCCGCATACATTTGCTAGCCCCCAAATCCTCACACCTCAAACTTCTAAATTCTAAGTTGCTCCTAGGTATCAAGGCCACATCTGGCGGAAGTACATGCGCCGGTCCCTTGACTTGAAATCTGGACACCCAAGGAAAGCCTCGGACAGCCAAGATTGGTAGTCATAATTGCAGTGCTGGCATGCGCGACCTCTTTGATGGCGGAAGCGGTGTGAAAGTAATTACCAGCAATACCAGAAGCTGGAGCAGTTGTCGTTGTCATGCTGCCAGAATCAGAATGATTAGCGTCATCAGTAACCCCAGTATAACCCCTGTTGCTATAGTAGTTTCCATTTGATTTTCCATTCCATTTTTCCATTATCCCAATATAACCCCAATCTAACCCCTATTACTATTGTAGTTTCCATGTTCTTGTCCATTATCCCAAAAATGGCAGTTTCTCGAAGTCAGGGTACCTCTCAGGGACTCCCGGACATAAATGGGGAGTACAAAAGGAGTGCGGGGTCCTTGCTTGGTTTGGAGTTAGAGGTTCGGGGCTTAGAGTTTCAGGTTGATGGTTTGGAATTTAGGATTGGGGGTTTAGAGTTCTGGTTTTGTTTTCGTTGATTGACTGCGCTGCCTGCTCCATTGTGTACCCTACATTTCTATGTATCCCATACCTCCCTCCCTCGATATGTAGGATATAGGATATAGGATATGCCCGAGCTTTGAGAAGTTTGCAGCAACATGAGCTCTTGTCCCTCATGTAGCAGACCTACTCTAGATGGAGGAGGTCTTCCACCACCCTCTATAGACTCATTCGTGCCTGTTAAGTGGCTGCAAGACTTTCTCCTCCGTCCGCTGTATGTCATGTCTCCTTGGAAGCAGTGCGAATGTCATTGACCTTGATCACCTGGTGGTTCCTCCTGACTATAGGCACATCTCAAAGAGGACCATCTTTTGGAACCCCCCTAAAAGGGTTGCTTTGTATAGTCTAAACTCCTAGTATCCCTGTTCATAACCCCTATAATACTCCCCCATATAATCCCCTAGGAGTTTAGACCCTAAACCCTAAACCTGATAATACTCCCCTATATACTCCCTTCAAGAATTTTGGACCCTAAGCCCTAAACCCTATACACTCCCCTACATAATCCTCCATAGGGCCCCCTATAAGGAGTTTTCCACTGGGGCACATAACATATGTTTGCAAGCGACGCGGCCTGACAAGGGGTTCCAAGAACTTCCGTGAGACGACGAAAGCAGCTCCCCCGCTGGTCATCGAGCTGAAGGCCGGCTGCTTGTCCTTTTGTTTAGGGTTTAGGCTTTAGGGATCAGGGTTTAGGGATTTGGGTTTAGGGTTTAGGTTTAGGGTTTAGCAAAAAAAGGGATTCTGGGGGTTCTGTAAAGGTTATATAGGGACAGTGGAAAAGAAAACGGAAGATAATATGGGGGTTTCCCAAAATTAGGGGTACCATGTTGGGGGTCCTAATAATAAGTGTTCCTTTATTTAGGGAAACTACCACATTTTGGGGTTGTGTGTTGAGTTGGGTGCTCAGGTTTTATGGGGACAGTGTTTTTGAGTCAGGGCTTGGGGAAACTTTAAACCCTAAAGCCTTAAATGCTTAAAACCTTAAACCCTGAACCCTAAACCCTAAACCCTTAAACCCAGGCGGGCGCCTTGGAGTTAGGTAAGGATGCTGCTCTGATTCAAGATGTGGCTCCCTAAGCCCTTTCCCCTAAAGTGTACCCTGAACACTAAACCCTAAACCCATAAACCCTAAAGCCTAAACCCTTTGTTAGGGCGCTCTCACATGGAATTTCCTGCCTGCAGGTTCCTATTATTATGCTGACATACCGATGAAGAAAGACACGGGACGCTCTCCGCCGGAATCCTTGAAAACAGCTCCTGAACAATTCCTGAACTTTTACCTAATTGCCACTGCAAGTTTCCAGAACCCAACACTCGAACCTTTTCCAGGCTAAAAGTGTAGTCCATTGATATAACCCTAGTATAACTCTTATATAAATCCAATATAACTCTAGTATAACGCGAGGATTTTTAGGATATTCCTAGCGGAAACCTTACCGAGCCAGGGCTTGACGAACCATCACGCAGAATCCTTGCATGTCTCTAAGGACACCTAGGGTTTAGGGTTTAAGGTTCTGTTGCCATGATCGGTAATAGGGGTTATACTAGTCTAAACTCCTAGTATCCCCCCTTATAGAGTTTAGAGTTCTGTTACCACAGTTGGGAACAGGAGTCATAGTAGCCCCAGACCAAAACCCCTTTAAAGGACAGTTTCTGTAAGGGGGAAAGATCCAAAGGATGCCCACATTGTACGGTGGATATAGAAATCCTGCATGACCCTAAGTCCCTAATACTAATACCTCTGGAGATTATGGTGGTATAGGATACCGAGGTCATGCAGGATCTTCAGTATCCAACCTGTAAACCGAATATTACCACATTTTCCATTTAACTTGAATCTTTTTTTTTGCATGTTAGTCTTCATTTTAGGGCAATATTCCAAAATCCTAAGCACTAAGTAATCGTATATCCCCCTAGAACCTCTGTAATGTCCCTATCTTGGAATCAACAGTAGCTTGGTATTTCTCGAATTGGTGGTCTCCAAAAGATTACAGGGCAAACCCGTGTTTAGAGGACATTGAAAAAGGACCTTATGAATTCGGAGGAGTTTGCTCAGCGGAACCCAACATTAGAGATACCCCAAACGTCCCCTTTCGCTTCCCCATGCAATATGACCTTTCGATTTTTCATCAGTTTTCCTTCAGGAAACAATGTAATCCCAAGGCTTTTTCCTATCCCCTACAAACATGGAAGGCCAAAAGGAGCCTTGTGAAGATCACTGTCTTTCAACGGGTGCGATCTGGGCTTCCGTGTTTGCTACGGGCAGCGTAATTCAAAACCCCAAGCCCGCCTCTGAACCTGGGGCCTGCATGCCCCTGTCCTGTGGATCCGTGTGTGCCTTTTTTTTGCCTTCTAATATAGATCCCTATAAACTCCTGCGGTGGATGGGGGGGATCCTGCACCGCCTGCTATACCTGATACTTCAGGAATTGCAGTATATGAGGGGTCCCGATCCTGAGTGGTGCATCCACAGTACAACCTTAAAACCTAGACCCTAAATCCTTCAAACTTGGCCTTAGCAGGCCAAATCCTCCTCGCGCTGGTGCGGCCCGGACGTCTCGGGCTGTAGCTTGGCAGCTGTGCACGCTCCCCTAAACAAACATGGAAGCTGCTTGAGGGGTTATATGGACAGTATAGGATATGCAGAGATGCATGGTTTAGGGTTTGTAGGCTTTCCGCTCCCCCAAACAAAGAAGCTCACATGGCCCCCCTGCTGAAAGGACAGTAGTCTTCATACGGCTCGTTTCCTCCATATTTCTTTGGGCAGCGTTTTCCCCTTCCTGCGGAAAAAAATGCCGCCCCCTCCCTGAACAATCAACATCAGCGGTGCTGCGCATTTGTATAGTAGGTGACGACTTGGTGGGGATGGGCGGGTGTGAGGGCTTCTGTGATTAGGTGGTTTGATGACTCCGTAGTACTGCGTAGTGCATCACTTTGCTCTTCGAAGATTTCATATAAATGGCACATTCATTGTGGGGCCGGTGAGGGGCTTCGCCTTGATTTTACTGATGCTTGCGCTTTTGTTGATGCTCTTTGCTTTAGCGGGAGCTTCTCAAGAATAATCTCGGTTTTATTTGGTTTGTGGTTCTTCATGAAGTTCTACACTTGCTTGGGGTATTTGGGTATCCACGGGGACCAGTTGGAGAATCAGCGCATACATTTGGCATGGCTTGATGCCAAGGTCAGTGTGATGATCCGGAGAGCGAAGCAGATCCTGATGCAGGCGATTCTAGAAGTACATAGGAACGCTACGAGGATTCCATGGACGAACTTCCTAATGAAGGAACACATTTATCGCAAAGCGTGCGAGGAATTTCAACGTGTGGGCGTAGCGAAAGCAATGTGTGAAGAGGGCCTGTTTCTAGGGTCAGCGCAACTTGGGGTCCAACACTAATCGTTTCGGAAAAACCGCCCGCAGCTAGTCCTTCTTCCTGAGAAACTCACGCCCAAATGCGCACCATACCACCAACAGCCTCTTGTGCACTTTTTGGATCCCAAACGTGTAGGATGAAGATGAGCTTGCAGAGCGACAAGTTGGCATTTCTTGTTACTGGGGGTTAGTAGGGAAAATGGGGACGTAGTACATAGCGGTTACATGGGGGTCATATTCCCTTCTTCTCTACTAACCGCCAGTAAGCTTTGTATGGAAGAGGCTCTGTCAAGCCACCTACAATCGTGTAAGCTTATACGAAGGATTGCTTATAGGTTTGTTGTTAGACACTTTGAAGATAGCCATGAAATGTACAGGAATCCTAAAACACGACTCGTCTCTTAGATCCCTGTCTATGAACAAACACCACGTTAGCATGCCTGTCGTGTCTTGTGGGTTCCACCCAGAGAACTTCATCCCCACTCTGCAGACTCGAAAGCTCGAAGACTGGTATTTGCCGAAATGAGATTCCTTTCTTTCGTGTGGCACGGGAGCGTCTTTGACACAGGATAGCAGCCCTGAAGCTGTTTCACCCTGGCTGGAGTCCAGGGTAATTATTGCCTACTTCACTTGAATGTACTTGGAAACCCACCACAAGACCCCTAGCCCTAGTCCTCTGCGAGGGTTACAACTGGGTTGGAATGACTACCTGAACCTCGAAGTGACAGGAATTATCGAGCCGCCATCCGAACAGGAAGATCCCGAGTTCCTTATGGCGCTTCGGATCTGCAAATTTCTCGCGCATAGGGAGGTGATTTTCTTTTGGAAATCCGAAATCCCTAAGCCCTGAACGTTCTTCTGTAAACCTTACAATCTAAATCATGTTGTAAACTTACATGTAGAGGGCTTTCAAGGGATGATGCGTGGATATCACCTAATCGCCTGATCTGAGATCTCTTCTTTTGAGGTCCGTATAGTTGCTAGACGTGTATGGAAGGGGTGCTGTGATCTAGGTGTATATGGGGGACTCAAATTTGAGACGCAGGACTTCAGAGAGTGCTGGGGCTCGCAGGGTTTGTGTCGTAGATTTTTGTGGCTTGAGCGTAACGGGTTTTGGTACGCTGTTCGTGGTTTGGGGCTGCAGGGCGGATCTGAAGCCTGTTGCAATAGGGCTGCAGGGGTGACAAAGCAGATCGCTTATCTCCGGATTATCCGAGCGCTCGTCGTGCAGCCGCCCAGACTCATGGCCCAGCCCAACGCATTTGGACGTTTGCATGATCAGCAGACATGCCGGAATCCTTTAACATGAAGCCCTAAACTTGGAGACCTTTTTGCCCAAGCGCCCACTCAACCTCCATTGCAGGAAAGTTTTTCCAACCTCCAAGGGACGGTTTGGGTGCCCTGTGCATCCTGTGCCATCCCTTCTTCCGAGCAACGTTCATATTATGTTGTTCATTCGCTAGCAATACTAGGAATAAAAGTAACTGTAGAACAAAGTACTAGGATAACTGTGAGCCACAGCAATAGTAATACTACGCGAAATCCTTGGTGTGCTTGCCGACAAGTATCTGTTTTCATCGTGTTTCAAGGGATGAACAGCAAGTGGCTACTCAATTTTTGGCCTTGCAATTCGGCCCTCTTGTTGTGTTTTTGCTACATTGGTGACGAAAGCGTCGCCGCCTTTTCCAGCGACTTAGTTGAGATGTGTTGTACGAGATCCGAACAACAGCCCGGTAGGTAGTCGGTAGTAGTAGAAGTGCACTTCAAAAAGCTGTAATACGGACCGTTTGCGTTGCTCATATCCCTTACAGTGCCCCTGCTTTGAGCACTACATCATGCACACCCCTGAAGCCGTACTCCATTTCAACGTGCTAATCTCAAGGTGCGCGACTTGAAGTATCATTTGCAGCTGGTTGGGCCAGTGGTTGGCATGGCGCGCAGGACGTAGCGGGGCTGCAATGTGCCTTTTTCATAGGGTTACGGGGTACCCTGGCGACCCGAGGGATGCACGCAGGTTACGAAAGGAGTCTTTTCAGAAACTAGCGTGCCGAGAACTGTGACCTGCATCTTGGGCGGTTCCTATGATGAACGTGGGTGTGTACCTGTGCCGTCTCCACTTGAGAAATTGGGATGCCGTGTCTTGTCGCAGGCAGCGAGAGTGGGATTTCGACTTGCGTTGTTTCATCTACAAGCTAGAACCGGCATCAATAATCATCTCCCTTACAATCCTCACAGTTGAGAAGATGATATATTCCAAGACATTTCAAGAAGGTCGCGCATCGCGTTCTTGGGCTTTCCTTTAAACTTAGAGATTCAGGGCTCCAAGTGCTGGGGTCAAGTGTTGAGAGCTTGGGTGCTTAGGGCCGCCAGCTGACGCTGCTCCAATCCGCTCTCAGGAACAGCATGAACTGATCCCCTTCCCCTGCTAACCATGAACCCGCACCCCCCTGATATTAAAGGGAATCTAAAAAGGTGCTTAAGACAGAGGCCAGAGCAGTACCTCGCAGTTGCTGGCAGGATTGGCCTTCTGTCCCCTTAGTATTTTGATTGAACAAAGGTCGCTTGAGACCCTTCCTGGTCGTACTAGCATATTCTCGTATTCTCAAAGCATCCCATCCACGCATTTGCAGAGTCCTTACAAAAACTTCCCAACCTGCGTTAATGTCTCTCTTTAACCCCGTTCTGCGCCCGTTGAGCACGCATTTGGGTATTGTCTTTGCTAAACAAACAAACTCTTGGTCCTCTCCCACTTATGCTTATGACTTGAGTGGGAGACAGAGAGAGAGAGAGAGAGAGACAGAAATTCAGAGCCCAGGGACCTCTGCAAGTGTCGAGAGATCGTTGGCAACTTTGACTACGGCCTCTCATCGGTGGACCCTCGCAACGAAGGGGTTATGGTCTAGGGATGTTTCGGATTGCATGGGGCATGGCGCACGGGCCTCAGGGGCCCCTGCAGACTGTGATGCGCTCTCTCTCTGTCACAAAGACACTTCCCTGATTTTGGACTTCTCGGTCTCTGTTGAATAGAGCGTCGCTCGAGAGGAACACTGGGAGGGTCTGGCCGGCGAGATATCTCTGAAGGGTTGGCCTATGCTTGCGGGTAGTTAGTTTGTAGAATGTTGCGGGCATGCAACATGCTTGCTGTACTCTTCAGCTTCTATCACCGCGAGTAGAGGCTAAAGGGTCTGGGGGTACTGGCTGACCGCAAGTTTTGGAATTGCCTTGCAACTGAAAGCAGCCAGTTTCCTAGGACACGATGGGCAACCTTTGCACAGAGGTCGAGTGGTGGTTGCAGGCTGGGATCGCAAACCTTGCACCCCAAGTTGGGCAGGCGTTGGGCTTAGAGTTTTGAGCCATGTGCCCCTTACATTCTACATCGCCCTCGTCTGACATGGAGGTTTCTGAAATCGGGGGCTGGTAGGGGCCCTAGGGATTTATCGTAAAGGGACTTTAATGTGAAACGAAGACAGGGAACCCCAAGAACATAGTAGGAATAGTCCAGATCTTGGAGTAGAACATGTTGAAATTATCAGGGCTGGGGCAACACAAACACATCTCATCTGACATCATCGAGAATGCAGTGTGGGGTCTCTATTTGTCACCGGGTGGGTGGGTGGCAAGCAGTAATTTGGCATAGCCACATGCATCATGCATCTGAACGCGAGGTCCTGTTGCTGTTGAGCCTCGAGGGGTCTTTTGTTTGCCACTTCTTTTGCACATGTACTCAGACTGCCCATCATGTCCTTGCGAGGCTTGCAGCAAAGCACGCATGCAGTTATGATGCCCCAGAGTGCCTAAGGCTGTAGCCTGAAGTCTGCAACGGGTTTCCCAGTATACCCGCCATGGCAACTCTACGTAACCTGGGCATTCCATACAGATACAGCGATCCTAGGTCAAACCCCTCTGGACTCTAAACCCTAAACCCCTCTATAGATCCCCTATATAATACCTATATAACCCTCTATACAGTTATCCCTGTAGTAGTTTCCATTTTCTTTTCCATTATCCCTACCTAAAGCCTTGCGAAGCCTCAGATCTGAACCCTCAGAAATCAGACATCGGCAGGATGAAGCGGCGCAAAATCGCTACGATGGTGCCCATGCAAACTGGTTGAAGCTCCTGGCTGTTTGGGATCACTTGCAGCCTGGCTGTGCTCCATCCCCTCCCCTACTATTCAACTCCCCCACCCCCCGTTTTTGTTTGATATCCCAAAGCATATAATGTAGCACAATGGGAGTATTTCGTATTAGGGGTTGGGGGGGGTTTGCTATCAGGGGGATGGGATTAGTAGACCAACTTTGCGGCTTCATGTTTTGGGTGGAGATGTGCAATTACGTAAATGAAGTGTTATGGTCCATGAACCTTTGGCCGAACTCCCTAATAAATCTCATAAGGTCAGTTTATGATTGGAAGGGGCTGTCAAGTCAGCCTCAAAGGGAACCTTATTCAAGAGGTATACGGTAAGCCCTGATCCCCACACATCACTAAACCTAGTTTTCATTTGGTTTTCCATGTTCTTCCCACTCGATTCTTCATTATCAGTACATTCTCTGCTATGTTATCCCTTAACTCGTGAGCTGTGAGGGACTTCCCAAGCCGTGCAAAAGTGCCCCAACAAGTATTCGTTCACACTCAAGCCATTAGCCCGTGCAGTCTTAATCCGAAAGCAGATTATGTGCCGAGGCTTAGCTTCCACGTTGAAGATTTGCTCGATGCTGGCTTTGAGTCCGATGTTGTGAAGGACAGCTTTGTGCAAAGGGTCTCATGCGAAAGCCTGAATGCTTAGTCGGGATGGGTAATTGTTCGCTTCAAGCTTGGTACTATCAACGCTTACATGACAAGAACACCGGGATCTGATCTCATGCCGTCAGGGGTTCTTGTATTCTAAGAATGTGGGGAGAATCTGGCGTGTAGAGTCTGATCACACAAGGGTGGACCAGGCAGACAGGGACGAGAGTGAAAGGGCTCCGGAATTGTTTTTTCCCCCTCCGGCTTCCTGGTTATACGAATGTTCTATGGGTACTTTCAGGCAGTGGGTTGGCAGACAAAGGCTTATACAGAGGGTCTCATGATCTTGAGATATGTCCAAGCTTAGCTTCTGGACCGAGCTCCCGGACCTTTGAACCCCAACGCTGACTGAACAAACGGAATATGGGCACTACTATTGGGTATGATATAAGGATTTCTTATCCATTCCTCCACTCCCTATTAACCAGCAGTAGGGCTTAGCAGAGGACTTCTTGGACGGGTGCCTGCTGTACGAGGCAGACTTACACAAAAGTGAGACCACCTCCCCAATCAATACGCCCTCATTCAAGAGTTGAACATGTTCCCAACAGTGATATCTGTTGTTTGGGAAGGGTTTGGTATTGAGGTCGGTGATGAGTTTCGAAGCCTATCAATTCAAATCTCTTGAAATTTGATGTGCAGACATCATCGCTTATGGTCTTTCCAAGAGGATTCTGGGCTATGTCTAGCGGGAAGAAGTGAGATGGTGACAGCGCAGATTGCACATTGAGTCAGATGCCTTTGAGTGCACTAGAAAGGCCCTGAAGTCGTGTAAAGATGACCAGTCAAAGTGTGACGGGCTTTGTCCAAGAGCCTTTCCTAGCCACTGCAAACAAGTACACCAACCCATACCAAACCGTTTAGCGACCTTGAACTTGGCTTCGACACCACATACCAACCCTGAACCCTGAAGGCCAGGCATTTGCCTTGCTTTCATGAAAGCATAAAGCCGAAAGCCTCAACGGCGTGGTCTAGGCGAAGTTCGTTGCTGGCTGGCTAGACTTTCTCAGATCAAGTTGTTTCGGGATGTCGCAAAATCCAATTGTAACAAAAGCTTGGGCGGCAAATCTTGCACGTCCCGTTTGAGGTGGGCGACAGGGCGCACGTGAAGGAGCTTCTCCTGGCGGCGGACACCATAGCCATCTAAAGTACAACAGAAGTTGTAAACGGGATGTCAGGGATGCAGGGAGTGTGTACGGATGGCAGACAGACCGAGTCCAGCTTTCAGAGGAATGGGAGACGGTTCGAATGAAGTTGAAAATTATTTCACCACTGTCTTTGCTCAAATCCCTACAGGCGGCTTCAAGTGTATTTCCAAAGCCAAGGCTGGATGTAGTTACGTAGGGGTTCTGCTGGGCATGGAACAAGCTCTCATATAAGGGTTTCTCAGGACGTGCAAATTAGCGCCATCTTTTTTTAATTCAGATAGAACATGCGATTCTCTTCCCCCAATGCCGGGCATTCACTGTATTCCCAAGTCTGCAGATCCGGCGGATGACTCCCAGCTGTTAAGCGCTTCGAGCAGGCACTAGCTTACCAAGACCACCCGCATGAGTCTTTGCCCTGCATGCGTCAAGGCATAATTCAGCAGAGCAAGACAGAGGCTTCAGGGCTGATGATCTGCGGTTTGACCCCAAGTCCGATGACTTTTGTCCGATGGCTGGAGCCTGCGCCGCATTTAATTCGATATGTGCAGCGTGGAATGGGTTCGGTCCTCTCAAGAAACTAGATCAGCACAGCAATCAGCTCACTCCTGAACCATAGCTCGCAGGCAACAAGTGCAGCTGCGTGCAGAGACGTAGGATCCACTAATTCGATGGACTTTGAGTGGAGCCAATCGCCAGTGGCTCTCTTTTTTAGGTACTTGACCCAGACTTATGACCTTTCTTGCCTCTAGGCCTTACATCTTAAACAATTCTTCAGGTGTGTTAGCCACATACGCCAGTAAGTACATGCACAGATTTTCACGTGTGAAATTGTGAGATGTGTGCATATGAGGTAACTAAATCTACGGCGGTCTGGCCTCCATGAAGTCCAAGTGCATACTTCGTCACTGCGGCTCTCGAAGAGATCCGTCGTGAAACGAGATTTGAAATCCTCAGTAGAGAAAGCCAGGCAAAATGTTATTGAGCGGGGGATAGCTTACCTGACAATTAGGCTGCAGTAGGAGATTAGATTTAAATGAATCCATCAAGCAGGTCATCAGACTTGTGTCCCCAAAGGTATTTTTTTTTTTTTTTTATCTCGATACGCCTTGTCGTATTAATGCTCTGAACCCCGTTCATAGCAACGCTTCAGCGCGGGAAACTTCATAAGCATGCCTATCTTTGTCAGGGCACCAGCATGTAAGTGATGTAAGGTCGCAAGGTCGATGGGCTGTGTTTGAGTGTGAAAAAAGACGAATCTTGTTTTGACTTAGTACTCTATTCAAAACCTCTTAACCCTAAACCCTAAACCCTTGTATGTACCCGGTACCGTCACCAAGCCAGTTACTCCAGAGACCAGAGCAACCAAGCCCCACTTGTCGACGTACATCTCTATATACACACACATATATAGTATGTATACGTGTGTGTTTACATTTTGTGGTACACAATTTTCATTCATTCGGCTCATCCCTGCGCAAAGGCCTTACCATGTGGATTAAGCTGAATTGCAACTAATTCTCGTAGCATAATATCATCTCAAGGTTCCGAGTTGGACAGCATGCAAGACCTAAGATACCTTTTTTGGTCTCTCTCAGAAATAATAGGCACAAGTAAATGTTGGTTTGCAAAGTTCGGCTTGAGCTGTTTTGCCTGCTGCAGTTGCAGTTCAGTCTGAAGCCCGCATCCAGCATGTCTAGTTGTTGTAGTCTTTCACTACTGAGAACAGCCAAGTCGATAACAGCCAGGGGGTCCAGGCAGCCAGCGCACAAGGCCTTGAAGTGAAAAGTCAGCATTCATGCCCAAAAAACCTGTGCCCTTAAACCTCGGGTCCCAGCAGTTCAGCTCCTGGACACCCAGAATCGAGAGAACTCTTGCATGTCCAAGCTGCAGCTTGCAGATCTAGATTTGCATCACTGTCCTCACAGACATCACATCTTCGTCTTCGTGCTGCTGTTTTCAGTGTCTTGTCATGGCGACTATGATCTTGGGGACAGTGCATCAGAGAAGGCGTGCAGCGCAACTACGGAGAAAACATGGAGCTGCTTGTTGTGGCTCACAGGCTGTGTCTTTGAGAAAGCTTTGGGGGCTAATGGAAGATGAAATGGAAGCTATTTTAGTATCTACTGGTGATGTAAGGAGGAATGGAAAATAAAAAGGGAAATTTCCATTTAGGGTTGAGGGTTTAGGCTTCAGGTGCTCAGGTACCTGCTAGTCTACTCTAGGGTAGTACATATGCATCAGCATGGCATTCGCTGGGACAACTCCCAGTGTCGTTGCCGCATTCTTTTGCAGAGCACCTTTCAAACACACAAGAGACATTCAGTCATGGTCATGCAGGTATGGCATGTAAGCCTGTCCATTTACATTAAACTTACACGGCTTTCTAACCCTACATAGAATTTTCCGTTGCTTTTTCCATTCCTTCATTCCCAATTGGCTTCCAAGGCGCCTGTCTCGGCGTCCTCGACGCCGCAACCGCCCTTTGCACCACCCATGGTGCGCACTCCAGTGGGGTTTACTGTTTACTGCGCAGTTCCAAAATAAGGGATCCTTTTGGGGCTCATAATGAGAATTATAGTTTTTTTGGCTGTCCTTGTTAGGGACCAGTGCATAGTAATATACATGGTTTCCTCATGACTGTGACTGCAATTTAGTCCTTTTGCAGCAGTCCAGTTTACTTGCTGGATATAAACAAGGAAGAGAATGGAATGGACTAAGCTACTGTTGGGGATTGTTTGGGCTACTTTAGGGATCCGTTCCACCACTGACAATCAGTAAGTTTCCGACGATTCTGGGTCTCTGTTTGGGGGCACTCATCATATTATAGTAGGAGGGATTGTTGTGTTCTCTTATTGTGGGTTTTATGATGGACCCTATACTCACTTGTAGCTTATGAATCCCCCCAGCTTGAGCCCCCCGAATGAATGAGAAACAGTTGACAAAGCACCTAATTGCCCCGAAGGCCTCCTACAAAATCTTGCAGAATCCCAGGTACCCTTTTCGGGTCCCAATAAGGATTATAATATTTTGAGTGGTGTCTATATTGGGGTCCTCCCTGTGTAGGGAAACTACCGTATGCGGTCTCGGAACAGGGACAAGGTTTGAAAAGGTTGCTGGGCAGGTCAACAAACAAAATTAAGGTGTGGGTTTAGGGGGCTTCATTGAGACACAACAAACGGTACACCTAATTTTGGGAAAACCCCCGCACCTATGCAGAGTCTCAGACCATGCCCAGGGTTCCAAACCTTAAGTCCCAGCAATGCTGACCTTAAACCCTAAAACCCTAAACCCTAAAACCCTAAACCCTAAACCCTAAGGTGGGGGCCTTGGCAAGATTTGGAGTTGGGCAGAAGAACCCTGTGTCGTTCGCGGCAGACACCAAAAGTCCGAAGGGTTGTAAAAAAAAAACCTAAGAAAAGGCAGAGGTGTCAGAACAAGGGCTTGCCCCCCCCCAAAACAAACACGGAAGCCCATGATATAGGCCCCGCTTTAAAAGGGAGCTAGTTTCGGTGAGCTTCCCTTTTTGGCTTCCACCTGCGTTTGTGGGAGCCTTGAGAATGATTGAAATTGGGGCCCCTAGTGTGTTTTGATTTTCGTCCTCGAGTGTACCCTCAACCATGGCAATTAAACCTTAAACCTTATGGTCTGTAAGGAACTCCTCCTTCCTCCCACGCAGAAGGTTGGCCCTGCCACCACAGCTCAAGTCCAGCCGGAAGCTCAAGACGGAAGATGCTACCCCCTTTCGGGGTCGTCTTAGGGTTCATATAGATGCACGTCGATGTAAGTGAGCAAAGTGTATAAAGGTATAGATGTATTTATGTGCGTAGGCGCGGGGCTTTGGACAAACGTCAAGAAAGCACACGAAATATGACGCCGCAGTCCCGTACGGCCTGTTGTATAATAGACTGCAACGTGATTCGCAATAGACCCCCGAGGGACTGGACTTGTTTTGCTCACTCGGCAATTTTGGATGTAAGGGTCGTATGACCTTGCTGTGTCCCAAAACATGTGAACAAGCTTTCGCGATTCACATATGGATGCCAAGCAAAAGCGCTAGCTTTGCAACATGCCCTGAGCAGTGCTTAAGGTTTCATGTTAGTTTCTATAGTGATAGAATGCTGACACTACACAGGGTTAACAGTAAAAACCATTACCCATTATTCAGGCTTCTATACTACCAGAACTAACTGTGAGGGTCTGGATTGCGGGGTCTCCTAGGAGCCCTCAGAGAGCAGGACCATTTGAATTTCCCGGCTTGAATAGGTGGTTTTGAGGAGGTCCCCAAGCAAACTGAGGGTATTTACCAGAGATATGCACCACAACAAGACTACCAACTTATGGAAGCCTCTCATCCCGAGCTGGGAAGACAATGGGGCTAACGCTTTTGGAGAAACCATGGTCACCCTTTGCTGCCATGTCATTCATTGTGTGACAGCACCTTCTGCTTCCAGTCGGGTGTGCAAATTCCCAGCAGAATGCACATTTTCGCTGAAAGGGGTTGTGAGTAGGCGTTTGCTCGAGAACATCGTCCCTGTTTCTCAGAAGAATGTGTACTACCCATCGCGATGGCGCCCAGAGAAAGCTTCAAGGTGGAGCTGTCCGCATGGTATAGAATCCCTATATGACCCTATATAATATAGTAGTTTCCATTTCATTTTCCATTATCCCAATATGTCCCCAAAATCTAGGTAGTCCACGAAGTACGCCCCTGAACCCCGATCTGAAGCCTGAAGCTTTGAGCTGTTCAGGCCTGAGCAGCGAAATCTTAGCCTAAGGAAGCCTGAAACCATGGTGGGCCTTGGAACTAGGGCTTATGTAGGGGTTATACAGGGGTTATAGCCCACTGAGCAAGAAGAAGCCTTGAACTCCTTAGGTCCCGGACCAGTAGCGGACAGGCCGCGGGGATGGCAGTCTTTGAGTCATTTCGACAGCATCAGCAACCTCGATAGGCCTCCACATCAAGGCATACAATAATTATGAGTTCGCAGCTTTTGAAGAG